TGAGAGGGTCTAGCATGGAGAGGGGGTCTAGCATGGAGAGGGTCTAGCATGGAGACCTTTTCTCGGTCTAGGAGCACTCTGGTCTTGGGGACGTCTTGGTCTTGGCTGGCCTTGACTACAACACTACAGTAGGGTAAAGTGGGACTCAGAATCCGTCCTGGATTCACTTCCATCAATTTAAGTGAACCTCGTGCCAATCAGGACTCGTTTGCTAAATCTTTCATTTTCAGTCATCGGGTCTTTAATTTCTTTTTGTTAATATATGTTATTGTGAAGCTCTTTGTGATGTCTGCTGTATGAACAGCCAGGCCCTGGAGTCATGGATCTATGCCCATCATGCCCAATTTAAACTGTCTATAACAGACAGAGCAGAGTAGGCTTCCTGAGCTTTTCCTGTCAGTACACACTGTAACATTATGGTACGATCCTCATCAGGCCATTTTCTGAAATCTGAAACTCTTTCAAAGAGAGAAAAGAACGTTTCAGGGTCTTTTTCATTTCATTTCATAAATTTGGGAATGAGCCACATGTTACCAATCAAATCAAAAGAGTGAAGAGGGGAATGGTTCCTGGTTAGACTGCCACTGTCAAACACCTGCCCAGCCCCTAGACTTAGCTTACCTTCTTTGATTAGATTTAGTTTCTGTCTTTCCAAATTTATTTTTGCCTGCTCACTTTCAAATTTAATTTTTTCTATAGCCAATTTTCTGTTTTATTCTTTCCTGTTCAATTTTAAGCAACAATAGTTCTTTTTGCTGTTCAAAGGAAAACCCAGAAGTCTAAGATAGTGACGGCAAAGACATCCCAGGAGCATTCAACAAATTATCATTAGCATTTCCAACATGTGCAGTCAAATCTTTCATTTCAAACAGGTTTGCTTTTAGAATAGACTTTACATTTTCTTTAAGTCTTTTCTCACTTATTTCAATATCATAATGCTCGGCTATTCTAAGCAAATCCTCTTTTGTACACAAGTCTAACAAGTGCTCAGAAGGAGCCGACAGAAATTCATCAACACGAGACATCATGACACCTTCACCAATCCAATGGAATGTATAGTATCAACACACTGACTTTACCAAAAAGGGGAGCGTTAAATGTAGGCGTGTCCCCACTATCTGCCTAACTAAATACTAGTTAAACTCATCCCTAGTCTTCATGCAGCTAGTTCTGGCAGGTACTTATGCACTGGAGACCGCTGGTATGGGAAACCGACCAGCTAGGTTGGCAACACCCCAAAACCACGGACATGCTCCCACCCCTTTCACTGCAACACTACAAAAATAACAAAGTCAATGAATCCCAAAGGCGAAACATTGCTGAGCCTAACAGGGGACATAAAAGCTTAAACTCCAAATCCTAAATCAGCGTGTCAATACTTACCTTCCCTTGGACCAATTAAGACTCTACAAGGCTACAAATCAAACCAACAAACAAAACTCACACGTCTCTCCCAACAAATGCACTAATTAGAAGCAGGTGCACTAATCAAACCAAAGGGAAGTCAATACAAGGCGCATGTAGAAAGTCTCTCCAAGTAGAGTGAAGTGGCAGCTTATATCATGACTGTGATCACCGGGCCCAGGTGCTCCCAGTCAGACTGATGGACAGCAACACATACTAATTACACCAACCTGCAACACAAGAAAAGAGGAGGCACAACCTAACAGGCCACAGGGCCGTCACACACACACACCAAGACTCCACCTAGTGTTCAGTGCCGGAATTACACCCATCACAGTTTAGCTAAATCTCAGGCAGAAATTAAAAGAACATGTAAATTCCACATTTGTAGAAGGATCATGTTTGTGGGATTATCACATCCAAAGCTGCACATCTGTATTACCTTCTTGGTTTATTACATCTTCAGGCAGTGGGGATTCTAGAACCTGTTAGGGCCCCAGGCAAAAATCAATTGAGGGGCCCTCCAACCAGTGATCATCACCATTATGTCTGCCAGCCGACGCTTACTCCTCCTCCAGTTCATTCCAGTTTATTTTTCTGTCCCATAGACAGCTAAGTCCTCTTCAATTTCCTGAGGTGACATTCATTGACAAACTTTGGTTTCCACGGCAACAATGCATGCAATGAATAGCAGGGCAACGAGAGGAAGTGCTGTCAGCTCCTTAGGGAGGTTTCCTACTCTCATTGAAAAATTTGCACATTTTGGGCCACTGCTTCGGACTAAGTTTGTGAGCCCTCTGGGGCCCCTTACTTTCCTGGGGCCCCAAGCAGGTGCCTGCCTTACCTGTTGACAAGCAGCTCCACTGTGTTGTTGCTCAAATGTGAAAAAAGTTATATTTAAGTTTCCCCAGAGGGCGTCGGATGATCGCCTCTAACACATAAATGTTTTTCTGTCCTATCAGGGAGCCTTTGTGTGCGATATGATTCTACTCTACATGATGAACACAAGCTCCTTCTACCGCGAGAGCAAGTTTGAAGTCATCGACTTCAAGTATGACCCGCTGTAGCCACTCTCCTTGTTATGACAAAGGCTTTACTCCAAACCTCCAGCTCACACTTAATAACACCTTTCTCTCTTTTATTACGTAACAGCAAGAAGACCAAAACAAAGGAAGGGAAGACGAGACACCACGAAAGGAAATCCAGGAAAAAGGCTGCAGAGAAAGAAAACTCCGTCAAAAATGCGGATGAGACGTCTCCAGCTGCAGAGAACCAGCAGCCTGTGGACACACGCGGCCCAACCATTCCACGCAACACAGGACAGCGATACTCTGGCATGGTCTCTCTGCAGGGACCAGAGCCAAGGCATCACATCACCATCTCTTCAGAAGCTTAATCTGCAGGCCGAGCGACAGCAATCCCCTGCAGAGGAGCGTCCCTGCACGACTCGTCTGCAAGCCACTATTTCAGCGACGCTTGTTCTGACTGAAGATACGTTGGTCCAAATAAAGGTTTAATGTTTGACTCTGAGGGCCGGGAGGCGGACGGACGAACTCAAAAGGTGGATTTCAGTGGCAGGGTGGGGATCCAGAGGCGGGACTTTGTGGGAGATTACACCTGGTCCATATATTATGTTGTGATAATGTCGGTGCAATCAGCAAAAAAACATTTTTAAAAAGTATCAAAGCAAATCACCAAATTTATACTGAATACTGATTTACAAAAGCAAAGAATGAACGGCGTCAAGAATCAGAGCTTTAAAGGCTGTTGATCAGACTCATGAAGCTTCCTGTCCAGATCCAGTGACATATTATGGGCTTTAGTTTGACATATTAATCATGAGATGACTTTGCACATCCTTTCATGAGACATTGTAAAATAATCATAATCAGAGTTGAATCAAGACTCTTACAACCCGACTGATTTGTTGTGTTTGCAACATTTAAGCCTGAAGCGTTAGAGAATATTTACTGGACGTTAGACGGTGTGCACAAGTCTTTTTCAACTCAACAGTTATTCTAATCACTGCAAAGAAATGATGATTGAATTAGGGAAATGGACTGTAATTGCTGCCCTTCTCATTGTGGCTCATTATCAGTTTGGATCTAAAACTTAAGATGTCTTAGATCGAGTGAAAATAAACATGAACAAATCGACAAATTGTCACCAGAGGATTTATTCTGCGAGCATGAATACGAGATGAAAATGTATTTAAAATCTGATCTTTGAATCAACATGAGAGGAGAAGTGTGGATGGTCTTAACTGCTTCCTGTACCCGTGTGTTGAGCTTAAACACTGTGAATGTTTCCTGCTGTATTCTCAGTGAGTTGAAGATGAAGATAAAGCCTGTTGTTTTAACAGATTGACTTCAGCTGTGACTCTGTGTTGTGTCGTCATGATGTGTAAACTGTGAGCAGACAGCTGATGTTCAGGCTGATATTTGATGAATTGTGCAACATGCTTGTGTTAGTTATAGGTCTGTCAAATGATAACATTTAAGTCACGATTATTCACATTATTATTAAGCATTTTATTTTGAATGTTTGTCCTGTCTTAAACTGAAAGAACTTTATTTACTGTGTGCTTTTATTTTGAAATAAAGTAAGGAGCTAATAGTAGATGGAAGGTTAGGACATGAAGTTAAGCGCAGAAACAGGAAGTGGTTAGGGATCCCAAAGTGAGGTCAAACAGCTCAAAGGAACGGTAACAAAGGTCAATGTGTGATGTCATAAGGTGGATATTACTTTGGACTTGTCAGCTGAGCTATCAGAGTTTGTTAAAGAGAAATGAGACATTCAAAGAAGCAGCAGTGTCCTTTTACATCAGAGACTACAGGGAGAGACTGAGGACCACTATCTACGGTGAGCCACAAGGGACAAAATAACACAAGATTAATGGAGATTTAAAAAAAATGCATTAAAGGAGCAGTCTGTAAGATTTGTAGTGAGTGAAATGACAAAGTGACCTTACTATATGATCAGACATTAAGGAGCAGCCGGTCTGTCCTCCTTCTAATTTTCTGGTTAGATTCTGGTCCTGAGTGCTCTGGATTTGTTTGGACCAGAGAAGGTAGGGAGTTTGAAGGCACCCCAAACATGGCCGTTTTGGACGCCCCTCGGTTTGCCAGATATGAGAGCAGTTATCAGGTCAACAGGTGTTGCAGTGATGGAAGCGGGCAAGAGAAGTGTTTCAGATAGAAGTGATTGTACCCGACCTAAAAAGCCTCTGCATGTTTCTAGTAAGCTCCACGAGCAGAAACGTGCTCAAACTAGGATCAATATTGGAGATGATTTTGAAAAATGGAGAGAGGTTAGAACACAGAAAGGTTTACAGACTGATGCAGAGCTGGACAAACACTGAAGCTTCAGTGACCACCACATGGTGACCTGTGTGAGCATCAACTCTAGAGAGGAGTCGGGCGGGGGGGAGGCAGCTCTCTACAATGTTTAGAATTTGGACTGCAGTACCCATTTTAAACACTAGGTGTCAGAGTTACATATTGCTCCTTCAGCTTCAGAGCTTAATTAATGGTGATTAACTGGTAAATTCTGAGAGCTCTAGTTGATGACAAACAATCAATAATGATGACAAAAAAGTTGTTAAGAGGTATTTTTATTTCAATCAGAAATCAGGTTTGTTTTAATTTAATCATAGTATTGAACATTAAATGTGATTAATCTGTTTTTGATCTATGTTACACTCTAAACTATGGCTCTGGTATGCATGAAAATGATCGCAGATCAGGAGTTACAGGTTACACAAGTCCATGTTCACCGTGATGTGTGGGGCAGAAGGGAAACAAGGACAGGTCATTCTGCATCACTTAATTACTGACACACCTTCATGTCAGTTCATCATGGAAAAGAATCATAATGTTTCTCACTAAAGGCCTATCTATCTACAAACAGCAGGGCAGACAACATCATTGGTTTACAAATTATTAGAAGGATTAATTCAAGGTTATTTGTGTTGGATCGTTTTAGTACACATGCACCATCCCGTAGAGGAAAGTCCAAAACAGGACGTAGGTGAAAAGGCCCCCGACGAGGCCCCCGGTGAAGAGCAGCCGTCGTGATTTAAAGCACTTGCTCCACCGCCGCCCGGCCTTCAGAATGAGCAGCAGAGAGAGGAGGAACGAGGCGAGGAAATAAAATATGAAGCCGTACAGTCCAGTCAGGCCAAGGATCCCGGCTGTTGCTCCGGACAGAGCAGATACAGAGGTGCGGCAGTAGTCCAGCACGGCGGCGTTGCCTCTCACGGATACTTCACTGATAAACTGCGGTCCCTCACGCTTGGCTATAACTCCCGCCATCTTGGCTCCGGTCAGCTGTCACAGGAAGGGGCTGCTGTTTCAGGAGAGATTCAGACACATGTGAGAGTTAACAGTGAAAATAATAAAAAAGACAAAATTCTCTGAAATCTGCAGATGGAGATTTGATATTTGCAGCTATAACTGATGCAATATTCGATTTGATTTAATACAGAGGGTGAGACAGGATCATTATTATTTATATCATTAAGTTTAAAACAACAATTAAAATACAGACAAACAAACACACGTCAGCTATGTTTTCATCTTGTGTTCATCATGTTGCCTCATTGATTATTGACCCAATAGATCCATTATAATGTATCCTAACACTGCTTAAAAAAGCTAAAAAAAAACAACTGATGCGCTGGTAGCCTGGCGGTTGGCGTGCACGCCCCATGAACGGAGGCTGTGGTCCTCCAGGCAGGGAACACAGGTTCGAGTCCGACCTGTGGCTGCTTTCCTGCAAGTCATTTCCCGCTCTCTCTCTGTCTCTGACTCTATCCACTGACCCGTCTCTAAATAAAGGCATAAAAAGTCCAAAAATAAAACTTAAAAAAACGCTTGTGTTTCAGCATGGTACCAGCTTAGTGTACGCACGCCCTCAGTCGCCCCAAACCCTGCAGGAGGGGGCCAGTAGACGAGGTCACCTACTGCCAACCTGTCATCTGTCCCGATCAAACCCCAGACCACATTATTACTAATATCACCATCACTTCACTCTATGCCTTAAAAGATGGACAGAGGAGAGGACTGGGCGGCGAGGAGAAGTCAGGAAGCATGTTGAAGACGTAGGGAAAGAATTGGGTCAGAAAATAATTAATAAATATAATGGGGGGGAGGAAGGGGTATGTTGCTGGTATGTGATGTACTAATAATAATATTATTAATGATGACATTATAACTATTATAAGACATTTTTAACACAAACAACATGATAATAGTTGGCCTTTTAAAGATGGCACACCACTGTGATAGAAAGAAACCAGCAGATAAACAATAATAATAATCTAATAAGAGCTTTAAATAAAACAGACAAGACGTTAGCTTCTGACAACAATTTAGCATTAACGCTAATTACTTCATTTAAAGCCCTGCCCAGGATTAAAGGCATAATTACACTTTAAAGAATAAAAATAACAGAATAAACCAACTTAGTTACGTCTAATAATGAACTAAAACATAGTAAGGTTGGACCCTGTGAGGTAAACTTGACATTAAACTGATTTATTTCCACTTCACCATCACTAGCGCTGCTAACAGGCTAGCTTACACACTGCTAACTAGCCAAAGCTAACGGGTTTCAGATTCTCACCGGAAACACGCGCAGGGACTCGTCGACACTTCGCGGCGGGATCAAAGATTCATCACCTGTCGGATTAACTTTGCACACTTTTATATTTTATCGTCTGTTCGTAAAATTCTGCCGATATTGAGCCACATTCATTCTCGTAGGATGACACTCCAAGGCAACAGTCGGCCATGCTCACTCCTTCGCGGTGCATTGTGGGTACAGCTCATCATCAAACAGGAGGCGACGGCGTGGTGCGTTCAAAGTACATTTAAGAGTAGGAAATTATGTATACCATAATAAGGAAATTCCCCTCATCTGACTTTGAGGTAATGATGCAAAGTAAAGGTTTTTATTGTCACGCCATCAGAATTGGATCAAGACCCAAACTCATGTAACAGACGGTTCTGTGGTTGTAAAAGGTAGAGTCCACCACTGGCGGACTCAGGATGTTTGAGGGGCGAATTAAAAAGAGGGGCACCTGCTATATTCGGTGCGACACCAGCGCACAAAAAGGGCATGTTACCATATTTCTGCATCTGGAAGGGCAACCTGGACCCTTCGTGTTTTTTTATTATCTACCACAGGAGCATCCATGAGGGCCCCCCTGAGTCCACCAGTGGTACCCACCTTTTAGATCAACGTATAAGATGAGATTCAACTTTATTGTCATTGCACATATACAAGTATAGAGTAACGAAATGAGGTTTGGCATCTCACCAGAAGTGCAATAAGCAGAAAGTGCAAGAATCTGTGCTATGTACAAGTAATTACAGAATTTACAGATGTAGACTAAGAAAGTGAATTATTGGGTATATATGGATGGATTAATGGGATGCTATAAATATAAGTATATTCTTCAGATTATAATATACAGATTAAGGTGCAGTGATCATGCTATACTAGATTACAGATAATATACAGAATATGGACATATTGTAGATCGATAACTTATTGAGGTGATATGAACATACTATAATACAATAATACAGGTGGATGAGAGAAGTGTGTGTATGACCAGGAGGAGTGGTGGGGGGGGGATGATGGGTGTGAGGTGATGTGCAGGGGAAGGGGGGTCAGCGGGGGGCGGAGTTCGGGAGGGAGACAGAGTTCAGAGTTCGGGGGACAGAGTTCAGTAGAGAGACAGCTCTGGGGAAGAAGCTGTTCCTCAGTCTGCTGGTTCTGGTCCGGAGGCTTCTGAAGCACCTACCGGAGGGCAGGAGGGTAAACAGTCTGTGGGCAGGGTGGGAGGAGTCTTTAAGGATGCTGTGAGCTCGCCGCATACAGCATTTTCTTTGGACATCCTCAATGGCAGGAAGTGGACACCTTGTGATGTGCTGGGCAGTTTTTACCACCCGCTGTAGCGCCTTACGGTCTGCGACAGAGCAGTTTCCGTACCAGACTGAGACACTGCTGGTCAGGATGCTCTCGATCACACAGCGGTAGAAGTTCATCAGTACAGCTGAAGACAGGTGGTGTCTCTTCAGTGTCCTCAGGAAAAAGAGGCGTTGATGAGCCTTCTTAACCAGACTGGAGGTGTTAGTTGACCAGGAGAGGTCCTCTGTGATGTGGGTCCCCAGGAACTTGAAGCTGGAGACAGGTTCAACAGCCATCCCGTTGATGTGAATGGGGTTGTGCGTGCTTCCTCTTTCTCTCCTGAAGTCCACGATGATCTCCTTCGTCTTGCTGGTGTTGAGGAGCAGGTTGTTGTCAGCACACCAGGCGGCCAGATGCTGTACCTCCTCCCTGTAGGCTGTGTCATCGTTGTTGCTGATCACCGCCGCATCGTCCGCAAACTTGAGGATGGTGTTGGATTCATGTACAGGTCTGCAGTCGTGGGTGAAGAGGGAGTAGAGGAATGGGCTCAGCACACAGCCCTGTGGTACGCCTGTGTTGAGTGTGATGGTGGTGGAGCAGGTGTGTCCTGACCTAACATACTGGGGTCTGTTGGTCAGAAAGTCCATTATCCAGTGACGGAGGGAGGTGTTGAAGCCCAGGTCTCCGAGTTTAGTGTTTAACTTGGAGGGGATGACAGAGTTGAATGCTGAGCTAAAATCAACAAGCTGCATTCGTGCGTATGTGTTGTTATTGTCCAGATGTGTGAGCACAGAGTGCAGCGCAGTGGAAACTGCATCCTCTGTACTCCTATTGCTGCGGTAGGCAAACTGGTATGGGTCCAGTGTGGGTGGGAGGCAGTTTTTCAGGTGTGCTAGTCTCTCAAAGCACTTCATTATGATGGGTGTGAGTGCTACAGGGCGGTAGTCATTCAGGCCTGTCGGGCTGGAGTGTTTCGGCACTGGGACAATGGAGGTGGCTTTGAAGCATACTGGCACAGCTGCTTGGGCGAGGGACAGGTTGAAGATGTCCGTAAAAACCCCAGTGAGCTGCTCCGCACATGCTCTAAGCACGCGCCCGGGGGTGCCGTCTGGGCCAGCAGCCTTTCGAGCGTTGATCCGGCTCAGTGCAGCGTGGACGTCTGTGGAGGTGAGTGAGAGGGGCTGGTTGTCTGCAGGAGGTCTGGTCGTGGTCTGTGTCTCTCTGTTGTCTCTATCGAAACGAGCATAAAAGTGATTTAGCTTGTTCAGGAAGGCGACATCTGTGGTTATCGGGGTGGAGTTGCTTGGTTTATAATCACTGATGGCCTGGATGCCCTGCCACATGCGTCTGGGGTCGGAGTTGGAGAAGTGTTCCTCAACCTTCAGCTTGTAGCAGTGCTTGGCCTTGATGATGCCCCTCCTCAGGTTTGCCCTGGATACGCTGTAGGCCATTACGTCATCTGATCTGAAGGCGGTGTTGCGGGCCTTCAGCAGGAGACGCACCTCCTTGTTCATCCATGGCTTCTGATTTGGGTACGTGGTGATCTGCTTCCATGTTGTAACACTGTCGATGATGGTATTGATATAATCCAGCACAGAAGAAGAGTAGGTGTCAATGTCTGTGTGAGAGCCCAAGGTAGCCTGAGAAGCAAACATACTCCAGTCTGTGTGATGGAACTTGTCCTGAACAGAGTCTGTCCCCGCTGGCCACGCGTAGGCTCCTGCGATGTTTGTGTAAACATGATCCAGAGTTTTGTTTCCTCTTGTATTGCAGGAAACATGCTGGTGAAATTTAGGGAGCACTGTCTTTAAGTTTGAGTGATTAAAATCACCTGCAACTATAAATGCAGCCTCTGGGTGAGCAGTCTGTTGTTTGCTGATAGCTGTGTAAAATTCCTTCATAGCAGCTTTTGCATCGGCATCCGGGGGGATGTAGGCTGCAGTTACAATAGTGGAGCTGAGCTCCCTTGGCTGATATATACCTTGAGAGTTACCGTAGCTGCCATAAAGCAGTTGTTGTTGGAATCTGGCTCGCTGTGGCTGGAGAATACAGAGCCACTGAATTCTCAAAAAGTTAAAAATGTTATGTTGTGGGCACAAGCTATTATATTGTATGTAAAATATAATTATCTTGTAGAAACTGTTGTTTGACTGATGTTTTAGGCAGATCTGTAAGTTTTTCAATGTCCTGCTGGGACATAAGGCTTTTAAAATTCAGAGTCCATCACTACAACCGAATTTCTTGCCTGGTCTGTTGTTTTCAATTTACTGACTGAAGCAGCGTGATTCTTTTAAACTTCAATCAATAGCCCAAACTTTTATTTTCCTTATCAGTGAAATGACCCTGCCTTTATTTGGGACAGGCGTCAATACGAGACAGGCCGTATATTATTATTTTTTTTTTTTACCAGAGAGCACCTTCTTCGTTGTTTCACCTGCCTAAAAAGTGCTGAATCCCTCCTATTTTGTTTCTATCAAAATATAAATAATATTTAAATTCAGTAAGGAATTATAAAAATCCCTCAAAGTGGTGAGCTTAATCTAACTCAAGTTAATGTCAGGAATTAAAATAAGGTTGATTTAAAGCCGATTGCAAACGCTGGAACTATTGTGGTCTTGTTTTTCTTTTAAATGTTCCTGCATGGAAGTAGTTTTCTAATCTCCGATTGCCTTCCTGCACGTAAACGCCCATTGTTGACTTTGCCCTGTCTGATGACAGTGGCTGAACGCTCAGTACGTGAAGCAGTAATGTCTGCCTTCATCCTCGGTTTAGACGTGGGAACAACCTCAGTGAAAGCCGTCCTGTTAGAAACTGACTCCAGATCGGTGGTTGAGAGTCACGCTTTGCCGACTGCGTCTGATATCAGCGACAACAACAACGGGATAAATGTGAGAGATAAACACACAGCCTGCTGAACCTACCTGTGTCACTGACTGAGGTGTGATTGCAACATGTTTCCATCTCACGCAGGCGAAAGAGCAGGATCCCGGCCGGATCGTGGACGCGCTGAACAGATGTGTCGGCCAGCTGTCCAGAGACAAGCTGCAGCGTGTCAGCAGCATCGGGCTGTCCGGTCAGATGCACGGAGTTTTATTCTGGAAAGCAAAGAGCGGTAAGGCTTCCTCTTTTCTTACCCGTCCATGAACGCACCGTGTGGTCATCCGTGCAATAACGGCTGTGAGACACGAGTCGTTTAAGCAGCAGAGGAAGCGTTTCCTCACCCCTTTATTCATTTAGATACTTTATTATTAAAGCTGAGGGGAAATGCCATGACACATAAACAGTTTGTGTGATGGGAGTCAGTGCAGGGAGATGAACAGTATAGGGACATGTGCTGTTTCGGGGAGGTTGAAGACTAGTCACACTGCTGCGATGTGGATCATCTGCAGGGGTTCGATAAACTACGGTGGCTGGGAAGTGCAAAATTACAAAGTGTGAAACACTTTTACAAAATTTGAGACAAATTAACATTTTGAAAAACATTTTTACATTTTTAAAATCATCAATTCCGACATTTGGTACATTGCCTTTCTATCAAGATTCTGTCATTTGTAAATTTGTTTGGGGACTGTTAATAGTGTTCTGCCACTTGTCATTTTGCTTTGCACTTCCCAGCCACCGTAGAAATGCATGTCATCTCATCTAACAGACAACAAACTAAGGAGACAGAATACTACACTCCTCCTTCAGAAGACGCTCTGCAGGACTGATGCACATTGCATCACCATGTCGCCCTCTGCTGGTTGCATCTGAAAGTGGACATGCATTTAGTCTGGCATCATAAAAACACAACTGGTATCCTTATGTTTTCAAACCGAACCAAAACCATCAACGTGAATATGACTTATCTTGCTGAATGGTTCCTGTCTTCTGCCTCCTTGCAGGTTGTGATTGGTTGAACATGGAATTCTTCACACCCAGAGACACCAGTCAACTAATCACCTGGCAGGACGGGCGCTGCAGCAGTCAATTCCTGTCCTCTCTTCCAAAGCCAGACTCTCATCTCAGCGTGGCTTCTGGGTTTGGCTGTGCAACAATCTTCTGGTACACGAGGAACAAGTGAGCAGACGCTTGTTAAAGGAAGAACGTGCAAACCGCTGTTTGGCCACACCTCCTCCACACTGAAGCCTACGCTCTCCTCCAGAGACACACATCCAACCCCTGCCCTCACGTTCTCACTAAGGAGTTATGAATCAGAGCGCACTATCATTAAGCACCATAAAGCGCAAGCGACAGACAAAATCATCCTTTACTCGAGCTGAAGTCACCTGTGTCCTGCATTGTTGTGTTAGCTTGTAGCTTCACATTTCATGTAAACAGACACAAAATGAGCTTGATCTAAAAACTCTTACTTGACATCCAAATAATCAGTGAGTATGTTCTTCTTCTTCTCTCTAGTCCTTCACTAAAAAAGCTTTTATAAACAAGGGGAGGAGCCAGCCGTCCATGTAAAAACGGCTCTGACAACAATACAGCCAGTGGGACTCGAGCTTCTCACTCATTGTAGACAGTCAAGACTCAAAGAGACATTTTCACAGGATAGACTGGATCTTTGATATATTTATGTGGAACATGTTGCACATTCTGCCTCCTCCATGTAGAGCCTTCTTCCCCAGCTTTGATGGATATTTGTACTCACTACATAAATATGTGTGGTTCTGCTGCAGGCCGGAGTTCCTTGAGGACTTCACAGTGGCAGGAACCATCCAGGACTATGTGACGTCCATGCTGTGTGGTCTGGAAGAGTGTGTGATGACACCTCAGAATGCAGCCAGCTGGGGCTTCTTCAACACCACGTCCAACCAGTGGAACACTAACATGTATGTGATGTGTTTGTTTAATAACAACCAATGTCTGTGCTGAACTGTTGGTTTGACCTGATAACTGCTCTCATATCTGACAAACCGAGGGGCGTCCAAAACGGCCGTGTGGGGGTGTCTTAAAAGTGCCTACCTTCTCTGGTCCAAACAAATCCAGAGCATTCAGGACCAGAATCTAAAGTTAGAAGGAGGACATACTGGCTGCTGCATTGTTGTCAGAGAAGCCAGCACTTCAACATAGCATGTTTCCTTAATGTCTGATCATATAGTAAGCTCACTTTATCATTTCACTCACTACATACTGCTCCTTTAATATCAGGTGTACATAGTGCCTTAGGTGTTTAGTCTAACCTACATAACCTCTTCGCTCTGTGTATGTGTGTTTGCATGCTCCAGCTTGACGGAAGCCGGCTTCCCTTTGCACCTGCTTCCAAAGTGTGTGCCGTCTGGTGGCTTTGCGGGGAAGACGTGCTCTAACTGGCATGGTATCCCTGCTGGTACACCTGTAGCTGTCGCCCTGGGAGACTTCCAGTGCTCTGTCTACTCCTGCATGAGTGCGAACACAGACGCAGGTGAAACCGGATGTGCAGACATGTCTTCACTTGATGCAGTGAATGCAGCGCATGTATTTAATCATATGTATGTTACATGTTGCATCCATCAGTAGTTAAAGCATGAGTAAAGTACATAACTTCAGAGCTGAAAAAGAACACATTATGCTTCAGGTGTCGTCCCTCTCTCTCATGCCATGCTGTAAACTCTTCATTCATTCACCTTGATCACATTCTTTCTTCTGTTGTTTTTGCAGTTCTTAACATCAGCACCTCTGCTCAGCTGACCTTTGCCATGCCAGCTGGCTTCAAACCTCCAGACTCTCCTCCGCCCGCCTCCTCCATCGCCTACTTCCCTCACTTCAACGACTCGTACTTGGCGGTGGCGGCTTCACTGAACGGAGGGAATGTGATGGCGACATTTGTGGGGATGCTCGGTGCCTGGATGAAAGAGCTCGGTACGTGGGTGGTTCAAGGGGAGGGGTTAGATAATCTGAGCGTTTGTTTCAGACTTTTAGGGATAAATCCTAATGACGACGTGTCAGAGTTAAGACAGGTACACATCAAACTGACAACAAAGAATGAGCTGCAGCGGAAACCGACTCCTGCGTCCTGTTGCCCGCCGCTGATGGGCCAAGAAGCCGTCACACTGTTCCCACCAAAGTGATAGCAGCCTAGTATTTCAGTAGTTCATTCTACAGGAGAGACAATAACTGGAGGAAACAAACTGCAGAGTACAGAGGTTTATCATTTATCTGATGAGCACGTTTGGAGGGGGTGTTTATTTGAGGAAGGCGGGGCCTGTGAGTAAGTTCTTAATGTTCTGTCTCCAGAGAGAGATAAAGTGTTTCTAAGTGATTTAACTGCACGCTGATGCCAAAAACGTTAAATTGTCGATACTAAAAAGCTGGTCCTCCCTGCAGGTGCAGAGCTAAGCGATGTCTGCTTGTATGAGAAGCTGATCCACTGCGCCCTGAATCAGGAAACGAGCGACCTGAGGGTGAGTCCCACAGTCCTGGGAGAGAGACACGACCCGCTTTGCCTCGGCCACGTGACCAACATCTCCACCGCCAATCTGTCTCTGGGTCATGTGACCAGGGCTCTGTGCCGAGGAGTGCTGGACAACATCACCGCCATGATGCCTGCTGAGCGGCTGCAGCAGGCGGCCGTGAGCAGGATTGTGGGTAGTGGGAGCGCGCTTGCCCGGAACGAGGTGCTGAGACAGGAAGTGGAGAAGGCGTTTCATCAGCCGGTGGTGTACGGACAAAACGCGGACTCTGCTGTTGGCGTGGCCATGCTCCTCTGTGACTTACGTTGAACTAGACTTCAATGTAAACCTGTCACGCTGGAGCGCTGTCTCAGATTTTGCAGTTTTAAATGTTCTGATGATTTAAAACGTTGAGGACCAAATGATTGAAGCTATAGAAGAAAGAATATTTAACATGAAGGAATACTTTTACTTTCTGAGCATGCAGCCGATCTTCGATTCATTCCAGCTCACTGGATTGTTGATTTGGACAAAAGAGAGGAGGAGAACTGATTAATCTGGTAACAAAGGACCGGTCTCAAGACCACTTTTTGAAGGTCTCAGACTTGACGGACTCCGGACTTTAAAAAGGACATATTATCCCCCTTCTCCACCTCTTCAAACAGTCCCCTGTGGTCTAATTGCTCTGATTTTTATCCCTCGGTGACGGCCGCTACCTTCCAGGTGTTACGGTCTAAGAGAGTGACACGCCCCCTAACCGCAAGATGATGATTTTTCAGAGATAGTTATGGTCTTGGTCTTGACTCGGTCTTGATCACTCTGGTCTCGGGTATGTCTCGGTCTCTGTCTGATTGCTCTTGACTCCAACATACTTCATCTATACAGCATCATTTCTAAGAATCATTTTTTATTTTTTTAAATATTTCAGAGTTAAAAGATCCTTAAAATGTCCTTTGAGCTAACTTGAAAATGTTTCTACAACCAAATTATCAATGTACTGAGTCCAGGACTAAACCTAATTTTTCCCTGTTTCAGGAGGGAGAGTGTAACGTTTATGTATTATTCTATGTTTTTAATCAATGCTTAAATAAGGATGATTGTTGCTTTTTTTTGCCTTGATTGAAAGTCTTCCATCTTGAAGTCGTCTGTAGTATTCTTCTTTGCATTTGTCAGTGTGAATTTAGCTCGAGGAGCTCGTTTTAACACGCAGCCTTTGCAGGTGTTTTCTTGCTTCTGCTGATGTGATGCTCTTTTCATGTTAGTGGTGAGAAAGAAGGATACGAAACCAAAATTAAATGCAAAGAAGCCTTTTCTTGTACTTTCCTCAGTTATTATTAGAGAAAGCTTTAATGGTCACATATTCTCCTCCTCTTCTTCAACCAGTGTAAATAAGTATCAGAACTTCTCAAAACATGTCTGTGAAGTTCTTGTTCTAAATCCACTCTGATCTGTATTTGATCATGTCTATAAACCCCTCTATTTCAGCCCTGCTCAGAACAGGCTGTTTCTGTGTCTGTAGCTTTAAATGTAAATGAGCTGTGGGGCGCCTATGGAGGCCTTGCTCCTCCAAGCGGGCTGCCCAGGTTCGAATCCCACCTGTGGCTCCCTTCCCGCATGTCATTCCCCCTTCTCTCTCTCCCTGATTTCTGAATCTATCCACTGTCCTATCTCTCAATTAAAGGCACAAAAAAATTAAATGAGCTTTTCACTGATTTAGCAGCTGATTGTAAATTTGAATTGAGAGCACAGTGTGTGAATAAAATGTAGACAATAAACTTTGGAGGGAAGCCGCAGGCCTTTATTTAATCTATGATGATGATGTAGTGGTTGCTGGATTGATGCTCATTGTGTTATAAACGTTATAAACATCCTGTCACCACCTTGCAGGCATGTGTGCGCTCTGAGGGCGAAAGCAGGAAGTAATCTTAAGAAATGAAATCATCACGCCTCATGTTGCTCAGTGTTGACTCTGCAACCACACAGTCACAGGACCGAACACACACACACATACATGCAATTACATAAAAACCAAGAAGAAGCAGCTTAGACAGACAGGAAGTATATCAGCAGCATTATGGACTAAAAAAAGACGCCTCACTGAGTTAAAGACAAAGACGAGAAAGCCACTCGTGTGTGAGAACAGCTGCATGTGAAACGGTGAGTTTCCAGTTATCTGCTTTTATACCTCCTGCATGATGTTTGTAAAGTGGTGGTGCTCTTTAAGGTCACGCTCTCCAGCAGTTCACTTCAGGTTTGGTGAATCTCATTGGGCTGTAAGTGCTCTGAGCGTTGCCTCTGACGCCCTCATTATGAGCACATTTGTGTTAAAGTCATATAATTCATTGCTAATCTGTGGAGAATCCTTTGTGGTATTTTTTTTTGCTGTCTTGGCATTAACGCAGATGGTCATTCCAGCATCCTTTTAAGCACTCAAGGCTCCATAATGTGCTCTGATATTCTCTAGGGCGGGTCACTTGATCTCCCTCTGGCTTGTCCGGGATAATCTCGCCTCCTCAGGACGCCGCTCCAGAAGAGCATCTCTGCTGGACGCTCATCTCCACACTCTGCTCTGTTGTTTGTTATTTTAAATAAGGAAACTAATCCAGAACAGGAGGACATCATTCTGGTGAGTACATCATCATGTGTTTTCTCTTTATTCTAGTTTGTTATTGATAGAAGGAAAATGATGCCAACATGTTGGAGAATTAATCTCTTCCCTCTTTGCACCAACTCTTCTTGGTGCTTTATGATTTCATACATTTGAACATACAGCCATGGAAACAGAGGGAAGAATGCATCTTTATTTATTATTGTACAGTGTTATATTTATTTTGCATCCAAACATGTCTGCCTGTAGGTCCTTCTCAGTCAATACAAGCATGAATAATACATCAGGACATGTTGACCACCGGCACACACAGAGGATTTAAAATACATCTTTCATTCACTTACATGTTTCTAAGTCATGTCTGGAAACCTCTACATGAGGAAGTGAAGACAGAAACCCAAGATGAGACCTTCACACTTCCTTGTTCTTTATTCGTTGTTCATTCCTCTCGTGATGATCACGAGGCAATCAGTGTTTCCACTGCGGCATCTTGATTCCTCATTTCCAGGCTGAAATAGGGAACACCAAGAAGACACCAAACACTGGGTTCCTTTTCTCTCCAACCACCCGTTAGTTTGTTTTTTCTGAACTCTGCAGAAATATTCATATTTATTTGACTGGCTGATTCTGATTCATCCTCTTACTAACTGTAGTGTGACCGATCGGGTTTTTCTGCAGAGAAGAGTTGTGTGTTTGGCTGCCATGGAAATCTTCTTCTAAATACAAGTCTTTGTTAGTCACTGAGGGTGCAACCATCACATGTCTGAAAATATGTCTGCAGTGCCCTTTATGGCCTGCGAGGTGATCCCCTGTGGTAAACAGGCGTCCCACCCAGCTGATACGATCTCACAGCAGCTCGTGTTGCAAAATTTGACAAAGACAAGAGGAGAGAAAATATGTTGTGCAGCTTAAACGTGTTTATTCTCCTGGTCGTCCCAACGACCTTCAGATGGCTCTGAACCCGGGACTGAAGAGTCCCTACGACCACTGACTCAGTACTGGAAAGACCCACATTCACAACAAGTCACAGTTGCACTTTAATGCTTCTGCCTCCACTTTAATACTTCTGCCTCCACCCTAAAATCATTTGACACAGTTTATCACTCCGCCCTCAGATTTATCACAAATCTTCCACTCATCATTGCATCCTGTACGATAAAGTTGGTTGGCCTTCACTAACAGTTAGATGTGAACGGCATTGGCTGCTACTTATTTATAAATCACTTGCGGGTAATCTACCAGCAATCTACCATACATCACTTCTTTATTAATCTGGGCTGATAATCAGTATCAGACTCGATCAAGTGACTGGCTAATGTTAACGGTTCCACAGGTAAAAACGAACTTTGGGAAAACATCCTAGACCTATTGTGCTGCACACACCTGGAACACAATACAAAACACACCCCGCCACCCATCGTACAGCTCGTTCTGCGCGTTCTGCCCGCTTGCCTTGTCCACTTTGCCATTTCGTTTCCGAGTTGGTTTGAATTATGATCACTTTTTAGCACGGCATGTTTGAAAACGAAAAGCCAAAGACCTTTTCGTTTTCATTTGAATGATGTCAATATGCATACATAAAGAGTAAAAGTATAATGCAAACGGATGACTGAATATTAATTTTAAATATAGGTAAAATAATGCACCTATAATCTGAAAATTAAAACGTGTTTCTGTTACTGTATTTTCACTTTAAAATTAGATTTTTCATTTGAATCAAATCAACAAATGTAGCGTGGCATTTTTTGAAAATGATAAAGCAAATGTAATTTTCTTCCTCATTTTAATTTAGTCAAAGAATGTGCATTTTTGAAGTTGAAAACTAAAATTCAAATTAGATAAATTAATCATCATTTTATTTTTGAGTCAAATAATACACCCATATTCTGAAAATTAAAAAGCATTTCTGTTAATTCATTTGAATTTTCAAATCAGCTTTATCATTTGAATTTTGATCACTAATCGCTTCCATAGTTCACTGAAGTTTTTGATCCAGTAGATGTCGCCCTTGAGCTCCAGCATGAAACCAAAACAAACTGCTGTTTGGCCACACCTCCTCCATGCTGAAGCCTCCGCTCTCCTCCAGAGACACACCTCCAACCCCCTACACTCGTGTTCACATAAAGGAGTTTAAAACAAGCAGCGGACACAATTGTCCTCGGCTCGAGCTACAATCACCCGTGCAGCTGCAATCACCACATTGTTGTGTTAGCATGCTAATGTTAGCGCTCTTTAGTTAGCTCGAAGCTTCACATTGCATATACTGTAAACCAACACAGAATGAGCGTGATCTAAAAACGCTTAAGTGACATCCAAATAATCAGTGAACAATAATGGAATTATAGAATTTCAATCATGTGATTAGAAATGCGATTAATCACAATTAACTGGAGAAATTTAGCGATTAATCGTGATGAAATATTGAAATTGTTTCATAGGGCTAATTTAAAAACTTGACTGGATGTGTAGGTCGCTGTGTGACAACGAGTTGTATTTCTACGCAGACAGCTTGATAAAGAGGACGAGATGAAGAAGTCGGACATGTTTTCCTTTGAGCTGGAGACAGACAACAGGACGGCTGAGGAGTACGAGCGGGACAAAGCAGAGAGGAAAGATGGAGGCGCCTCTTCCATATTTGGCCCGAAATCGCCTAAGGCTCCCATGGACACTGATTACCAGGAGGAAATGGAGAAGACCAGACCTCAACTCAGATTCAAAATCGGCTCTGGCTTGTGAGTTGCTCCAGGCGCAAATGATTTCTGCTGTTTTTATTGCTCATTACAGCGCTGTGTCTGTATGATATCAAACCACACGGTGGAGATCTATGTGGAGGGTGAAGGTGATTGACCTTTCTGACCCTCGAGTCTGTTTCTGTTCACAGAGTGGATACAGGAGAGGGCAACAGCAGCGGGGAGGAGGTTGAGAGGTTTACCAGAGAGAGACTGTTTGAAGCCGCAGCTAGCAGAGACGTCAGCCGGCTGGACGGCCTGCACCTCTACCTGCACCAGAAGATGATGAAACTCTCCGACTCATTGTGTGAGTTTGACTCCTCCCAGAATGCAACACACACACACATACACAAACACACACACACACACACACAGCGAAGAGGTTATATAGGTTAGACTAAACACCTCAGGCACTATGTACACCTGGTATTAAAGGTCCAATCAGTAAGATGTGTAGTGAGTGAAATGATGAAGCGATCTTACTATATGATCAGACTTTAAGGAAACATGCTATGTTGAAGTGCTGGCTTCTCTGACAACAATGCAGCAGCCAGTATGTCCTCCTTCTAACTTTAGATTCTGGTCCTGAATGCTCTGGATTTGTTTGGACCAGAGAAGCTAGGCGCTTTTAAGGCACCCCCACACGGCTGTTTTGGACGCCCCTCGGTTTGTCAGATATGAGAGCAGTTATCAGGTCAAACCAACAGGTGTTGCAGCGATGGAAGCGGGCAAGAGAAGTGATTGTACCCGACCTAAAAAGCCTCTGCATGTTTCTAATAAGCTCCACGAGCAGAAACGTGCTCAAACTAGGATCAATATTGGAGATGCTTTTGAAAAATGGAGAGAGGTTAGAACACAGAAAGGTTTACAGACGATGCAGAGCTGGATAAACACTGAAGCTTCAGTATCCACCACATGGCAACCTGTGGTGGAGCATGGACTCTAGAGAAGGGGGGGGAGGGGAGACAGCTCTC